CTCCTCCTCCTCCTCCTACTCCTACTCCTACTCCTACTCCTACTCCGACTCCTACTCCTACTCCTACTCCCACTCATCCTACTCCTCTGCCGCCTCCTCCGCCTCCGTGTCCTCCTCATCCTCCCCCACTTCTTCCTCGTCCTCCTCCTCCTCTTCGTCCGCCTCCTGCTCCTCCTCTTCCGCCTCCTCCTACTCCTCCTCGTCCTCCTCCTCCTACATCAGCATCAGCATCATCAGCATCAGCAGCAGCATCATCATCATCATCATCATCATCATCATCATCAGCATCATCATCATCATCATCATCATCATCATCATCATAATCATCATCATCAGCATCATGATCATCATCAGCATCAGCATCATCATCATCATCATCATCAGCATCATCATCATCATCATCACCATCATCACCATCATCAGCATCATCATCATCATCATCATCGAGATCATTTTTTTTATTCCGGCCGGTAACGCTCGTTACCCGGGGGGGGGGGGGGGGGGGGTCGTGCCCCCCGGGTAACGGTAACGCTTGGGCTGGGCGGGGTATGGCGAAGCAGGGGCGCTCTGCGATCGCCATAGTATGCGCGCGAGCAGCACTCTCTGCCTGAGAGCACCACAGTGGCTTGCGATTCGAGTACAAGCGCAAAGCCCGCCGCGTGGTCCCGGCACCACGCCCGCGCCCGCGCGCGCGACGACGATGATCGACGAGCGACGAGCGACGAGGTCGACGACGACGACGACGACGTTTGCCGCCTGTTTCGGCCTCCGGAGGCCGTTTTCGGGCGCCGTCGACGACGACGACGACGACGACGACGACGACGACGACGACGACGACGATTCGAGTACAAGCGCAAAGCCCGCAAGCACCAGCATCGCGCATGCGAGCGCCGCAATGGCCTGCGAGCGCCCACAGTGCGCCTGCGACCACCACACCACAGTGCGCATGCCTTCGGGCACCAGCATGTTGGAGGGGAAGACCGAGACCCCCCCGCGTACGAGCGTTACCGTTACGGGGGGGGGGGGGGGGGGGGAGAGGCCCGGGTAACGAGCGTTACCCCCCAGAGGATAAAAAAAACAATATATCATCATCATCAGCATCAACATCAGCATCAGCAGCAGCATCATCATCAGCAGCTATCATCATCATCAATCATCATCATCATCATCATCATCATCACATCATCATCATCAGCATCATCATCATCATTCATCATCATCATCATCATCATCATCATCATCACCATCATCATCATCATCATCATCATCAGCAGCATCAGCATCAGCATCATCATCATCATCATCATCAGCATCATCAGTATCATCATCATCATCGTCAGCATCATCACAATCATCAGCAACAACAGCAGCAGCATCATCACCATCACCATCAGCAGCATCATCATCAGCATCATCAGCAGCATCAGCATCAGCATCATCATCATCAGAATCATCACCATCATACACATCCTCATCAGCATCAGCATCATCATCATCACCAGCAGCAGCATCAGCATCAGCATCATCATCAGCAGCAGCATCATCAGCAGCAGCATCATCATCATCCTCATCATCATCATCATCATCAGCATCATCAGCATCATCCGCTTTATCATTATCAGCATCATCAGCAGCATTAGCATCATCATCAGCAGCATCGTCAGCATCATCATCACCACCATCATCAGCAGCAGCATCAGCATCATCAGCATCATCATCAGCAGCATCAGCAGCATCATCATCATCATCATCATCATCATCGTCATCATCATCATCATCATCATCATCATCATCATCATCATCATCATCATCATCATCATCATCATCATCATCATCACCGTCAGCATCAGCATCACCATCATCATCAGCATGATCATCAGCACCAGCAGCATCATCAGCAGCAGCATTAGCATCATGATCACCATCACCATCATCATCCTCATCCTCATCGTTTCCTCCCTCCCTCCCTCCCTCCCTCCTCCTCCGCCTCCTCCTCCTCTTCCTCCTCCTCCTCCTCTGCCCATGCCCTCGCTCGGCCGGGAGGCGCGGATGGACAATGACGAGACGGAGCACAGTCGAGGTTGATTGGGGATGACACGCGAGAGGACACAAGACCATTCCGAGGGCCACATTGGCACAGGAATGTGGAAGGCGTGGGTCGCGAAACACAGGACACAAGGGCATCCTCGATTTGGCAGGATCGCCCAAGTTACTAACCAACCTCGACTGTAGGAGGAGGAGGGAGGGGACGACATCAACGACGACGACGATGAGGACAATGATGACGACGACGAGGACGAAGACGACGACGATGATGACGACGACGACGACGACGATGACGACGACAACGACGACGACCACGGAAGACGAGGACGAAGACGACGACGACGATGCCGACGCCGACGCCGACGCCGACGCCGACGCCGACGACGACGACGACGCCGACGCCGACGCCGACGACGACGACGACGACGACGACGATGACGACTACGACGCCGACGACAGGGGCCACGACGAGGACGAGGATGAGGATGACGACAGCAACGACGACGACGGGGATGAGGACGAGGATGGCCAGGAGGACAAGGACGAGGGCGGCAAGGACGAGGAAGACGAGAGGACGTGGACGAAGTCGAGAGGAGAGCGGAGGAGAAGGACGAGGACGAGGAGGAGGACTGCGAACCTCGCTGCGGCGCCGTCGTGGGCGCCGCGGCCGTGGCTGCCCCCCCGGCAGGTGAGACTTGCGACGACGCCCGGTGGCGGCGGCGGCGGGGCGGGGGGAGGGCGACCCCCCCCCCGCTGCAGGGGTGAGACCACCGCTGCAGGGCGGAATGGGCAAGGCAGCGGCGAGGAGGAGGTGGAGGAGCAGAGCGAGGAGCAGAGCGAGGGAGGAGATCGAGGATGTCGACTCGGGGATCGGGGAGGTCGAGGAGCGGGGAGGTCGAGGACCGAGGGTTGCCAGGGATCGGAGGAACGGAGGAGATCGAGGGGAAGGAGATCGAAGATCGAGGAGAAGATCGGGGGAAGGGATGCAGCGACAGCAGAAACATCAAAAACATAGCACCCCGCAATTGCGAGTGAGAGTAACTGTGGAGTATGGGGGGGGGGGGGCGCGGGCTGGGTCGCGGGTAGGTCGCGGGCGGGTCGCGGGTGGGTGGTTCGGCGCGCGTGTGGAGGCCCGAACTGGCCGTCGGGCGGAGCGGCATGGGGAGGATGCTCACTCAGCAATGCCGAGAGCATGCACTTGCTCAAAGACCCGCGCGACCTTCTCGGATCGGCGCTGGGCCCTCCCCCCCCGCGCGCGGAGAGCGCCGCACAGGGTGGGGCCGGCGGCCTGACTCCTCGCGCGAACCTCTCTCTTCTTCGAGGACGCGTCGAGCGGAGGGGGGCCCGTCGAGACGGCGGCGGCCCTCCCCGACGTCTCTCCTCCTCCCTGGGGCCTCGCGGCGGCCTCTCTCGCCGCCACGGTACCTCTCACCTTGCTGTGCGCTGCCCTTGCGGCGCACGCGGCTCTGGGGGGCATCCCGACTCATAGTGCGGGCGCTGTCCCCCAGGGGGTGGGCATGTGCGGATAGGCTCTCCGGTACGATCATGCCTCTCCCAAGCGCCACAGTGAGCCCATCGGGTCGGGGCGGACCCCAGAAGGGTCCGGGGATCGAATCGGGCATGGACTGGCCCGGCTCGGCGCAACACCGGCTAAGCTTAGGTCGGGCAGGTCCCCCTACAGGCGGATTCAGGGCGGAAAATTACAACTACCCAAGAAGTAGACCAAAAAGAATCAAACGTGTTCAAAAATCGTCCCCAGACTATTTGTTGACTATTCTTTGAGATCCCTCCTGTAGAGGGACAGGCCCGCCCTGAGGCTGAGCTATCTCGAAAGCACGGCGCTGCAGGTTCTCGCGGGGCGTCCCCGGCCCGCTGGCGCAGCCACTGCAGAAGGCCACCTCCGGGGCCTCGAGCGGACCCCGGCGCACTGCAGGGGTCCTGCAGGAACGGGCGCTCCTGCTGAGCTGCAGGGGCCCGGGGACGCACAGGTAAACGGACACGAGTCACCCCCCCCCATATCCTCCCACCCTTCCTCTGGGCCTCGTCTCTCCCCCCCCCCACTTCCCATCCTCTTGGGGCGCTTCGGGGCCGTCTTGGAGGCCATCTTGGGCGTCTTGGAGGCCATCTTGGGCGTGTTGGAAGCCTCTTGGGCCGTCTTGGGGCCGTCTTGGGGGCCGTCCTGGGGGCCTCCTGGGCGATCTTGGGGCTCTTTTGGGGGCCCCTGGGAGTCGACGCTCAACTGCGTCTGGGTGTGTTTTTTGTTGTTGTCTCCTCCCGAGCGGCGTGCGCCACGATCGAGCTTCTGGAGCGGATCTGGGCTGGGCGGGAGGAGCCGCCGCTGCCTCCGCCGGCCCTCCACCGAGACGGGGAGGGGTGGGGCACGGGAGAGGGGGCGGCAGCGGCGACGCCGGGCGTGGGCGGCAGCGTCGAAGGCGAGGGGCGCGACGGAAGGAGGGGGGGGGGAGGGGAGGAGAAAGGGGGAGGGGGAGGAGGAGGAGGAGGAGGAGGAGGAGGAGGAGGAGGAGGAGGAGGAGGAGAAGGAGGAAGAGGAGGAGGAGGATGGAGCAGGAGGAGGAGGAGAAGGAAGAGAGAGGAGGAGAAACGAGGAGAAGCAGAAGGCGCAGGAGAGAGAAGAGAGGAGCCAGGAGAGAGGAGAGAGGAAAGAGGCGAAGGAGGAGGAGAAGGAGGAGGAGGGCATGGAAGCTAAGGCGGGGGAAAAGCGGATGAGAACTGGAGGATCAGGAGGACAGATTGAGCATGAGGATGAGGAGCGCGATTTAATGAATCGAAATGGAATGGCCAAAGTGTGTAAACACAAACAACACTGAACGAATCAGACCATCCCGTCGCCAGTGCGACGGCGAAACCCGCGACGACGGGGAGGAAAAGTGGGAGCGGGCTCGGTTTATGGATTGGAGGGGACGGGGGTAGGGGAGGGGAGACTTCATCGGCACGCGAACCAAGCACGTACATTACAATGATGTGTGAGAGAGAGAGACAGAGAGAAGAAAAACTTAACGATAAACAGAGGCAGAGACTGACAAAGAGAGAGAGAGAGAGACAGAGAGAGAGAGAGAGAGAGAAAAACAACAAAAAAAAAAAAAAGGAATGACAACAAAAGAGAGCAAAGCGAAGGGACAAGCGTCAGTGCCACAGGGGTAGTGCTACAGCGCGGCGCCGGTGCCGCGGGGGGCGGTGCTGCGGCGGTGCTACAGTGACGGCCTCGGTCAGAAGCAAGGGGCGGGGGAGGAGGAGGAGGAGGAGGAGGAGGAGGAGGAGGAGGAGGAGCAGCAGGAGGAGGAGAAGGAGGAGGGAGGAGGAGGAGGACGACGAGGAGGAGGACGACGAGGAGGAGGACGACGAGGAGGAGGACGAGGAGGAGGCGGGGGGGAATCGGCAACAACGCAGGGAACAGCAGCGGTGGCATGAGCAACACAGTCGGGGCGTTGACCAAAGGAACCCTAAACAAGGAACGAGGCCTCTGTCTCCAAAAGTTACACTTTGGCTCCCCGTCGAAAACCTCAGGGAAACGTAAGGCAAGCTGCGAGACAATAAAGGAACACGGAACCCCTCCCCAACCCAAAGGGTTCCTTCGTCGGCGCCCCGATTGTACGGCAAGCCCCCGTCGCGAGGACGCAGCGGGCGGCAGACGCGGAAGAAAGAGAGGCAAGGGACTGCTTCTCCTCCCCCCCCCTCGCAGCGCCCCTTGTGGTGGTGGGGGGGGGGAGGGCCCGCGGCGGCCCGCGCAGAAGTGCCTGCGAGCACAAAGGCATGCCTGCCAGCGCCACCGCATGCCCGTGAGCTCCGCAACCTGGCGCCCCAGCCCCGGCGCACGCCCGGCACCGTCAAGTGGGAAAGGGGGGAGGGAGGGAGGGGGGGCGACAACCTGGGAGAAGCGGGAGAAGCGGGAGAGGGAGAAGGGACAGGCGGGAGAGGGAGAGGGAGAAGGGAGCGGGAGGAAAGCTCCTGCGGGAGAAGCGGGAGAGGGAGAAGGCGCGGGAGCGGGAACGGGAGAAAGAGATGCTACGAAATACGCGCGCGCGCCCCTGTTGCGCCGGCACGCGGGGACCCCCGGACGCGGCTTCCTTCAAGCTAATTAGGGGCCGCGGCCCAGGGAGGGCTCGGAGGCGACTCTGCTGCGACGGCTCCGGGAACAAGGCACCAGCGCCGAAGGGGGCGGCAGGGGGAGGGCCTGCACGAGGGGGGCTTCTCCCCAGACGCGCCCCTCCGCACCGCGGCCCGGCCAGCGGCGCAGCACGAGAGGCCGCTCGGGGGCTCCCCGCGGCGCGGGGGCGGGGCCGGGCAGGGGAGCGGGCGCGGGAGAAAGGACAGGCGGGAGGGCGAGGGGAAGACACGATCCAAAATGCCGTGTGGGTAAGGGCGAGGGCTTCCGTGAGGGCGACGCCCAGCGGGCTTCCGTGAGGATCGGGGGGCCGAGAGCGCACGCCTGGGCCTCCGAGGCCTCCGGGCCCTCGGCGGCGACGGCGACGCCGACGACCAGGCCGAAGCCAACGGCACCGCCGACGGCAACAGCGCGGCCGAAGCCCGACGACGACGGTCGAGACGCTGACGCTGACAACGACGCTGACGCTGACGCTGACAACGACGCTGACGACGAAGAAGACGACGACGACAAAGACGACGATGACGACCCTCAATCATCGATCCTCGATCCACGAACCATCGTCATCCTCGATCAACGAACCTCGATCCTTCTCGATCCTCGATGCTCCCTGATCCTCCTCGACCCTCCTCCACCCTCCTCATCCTCTTTCTTCTTCCTCCTCCGTCTTATCATCACCATTGATATATTGTATAACTACTAATAGTATTATGAATTATATTACTATTTAAGACTATTATGAACGTCTTTGTCATTAGCATTATTATTATTATCATTATCCTCCTCCCTCCTCCTCCTCCTCCTCCTCCTCCTCCTCCTCCTCCTCCTCCTCCTCCTCCTCCTCCTCCTCCTCCTCCTCCTCCTCGATTCCTTCTCCTTACAAATAACTCCTCCCTGTCGCACCCCGAGGCCAGATTTTAGGGCGGGCCGGGCGTTTCGCCTGAGACTTCCTAACAATTTATGACTCTGAATCTTAAAAAGTGGCAACAGTTTCACAGATGGAGGGCGGGAGGTGTTCAAAATGTGGCTCTCGTCTTAGTGCTGCGCACAGTCGTTGCAGACATTTGCAAGAGATTCACGGATTGAGGGTGGTTCCTTTCTTAAATCTGGCTCTCGCCTTAGCGCCGCGCACATTCGTATTAAAAAAATTGCAAGAGTTTCACGGATTGATGGCGAGTCATTTTCAAAATGTGGCTCTCGCTTTAGCGCCGCGCACATTCGTTTTTGAAATTTGCAAGAGTTTCACGGATTAAAGGCGGGTGGTTTTCAAAATGTGATTATCGCGTTAGCGCTGCGCACATTCGTTTTGAAAATTTGCCAGAGTTTCACGGATTGAGGGTGGTTCCTTTTCAAAATGTGGCCCTCGCCTTAGCGCCGCGCACATTCGTTTTGAAAATTTGCCAGGGCTTCAAGAATTGAGGGCGGTTCCTTTTCAAAATGTGAGCCTCGCCTTAGCGCCGCGCACATTCGTTTTGAACATTTGCCAGAGATTCGCGGATTGAGGGCGGTTCCTTTTCATACTGTGGCTCTCGCCTCAGCGCCTCGCACATTCGCTTTGAAAATTTCAACAGTTTCACGCATACCAATGATCAACGTACCACAAACGGTGGTTTGGAAGGATTCAGGAGCATGCGGGTGCAACAGTTATGTTGATTCGCGGTGTCGAAGTCCAAAAAAAAGACGCTCTGGCACGTTTCAGGATCGTCATGACGCAGCAGTCAGGTTGATACGTGGCGTTGAAATCCAGGGAACAATGTTTTGGCAGATTTCAGAATCTTCAAACGGTTGTCTTCCAATGAGGCAGTTCCCTCACTGGAAATGAACCGCTGTGGGGGCATATGAAGGGGGAGCTTGGAGGGAGGGTTAATTCCAACATCGTTGATGACTCTTGTTTTTACACTGGTCCTCCTCCTCCTCCTCCTCCTCCACCTCCTCTTCATCCCCCTAATCACTCGTCTTTCTTTTCCTCCTCCTCCGTCCCATCTCTCCTGCTCCGTCTTCCTGGTCGAAATCACCTGCTGGTGGAAACCTGGTCCAAATCACCGCTCTTTTACCAGACCCGAGCCGCTTTCGGACCGGCTCCGAGCGTCAGTCGGATCCCTGGACTGCCCGAGCCGTTTCGGTAAACGTGCCCTGCCGTTTCCAGGGCCCGCCCACGGGGGCCCCCGAGGCGCGGAGGAAAAGAGCGACGAGGCAGGGCTGGCAGGGCTCGCTAAGCCGCTGGCAGCGCTGGCGGTGCTATGGGGTCAGCCTCCGGGTGTACTTGCTCGCGCCGTGCCCGATCTCGGACTGCAGCTTCCTGCCGGCGCGCCAGCCCCTGCGAGCGCGCACAGGCCGGGCCAGGAAACCAGCGGCCGCTGATGCGCAGGCGGCCTTTGGCCCCGCATGGGTCACGCCCGCGGCGACAGCGCCAGAGAACCCTGCTCGGAGTGGGCAGATACCGCGGCCGGCCTTCGCCGCCATGATTTCCGCACGCACCCATTCGCAGACATGCGACGTCTGGATGTTCTCGATGTGCTGGATCCCTGGAAGCCCCGACCCTGTCCCCAGGGCCCGTTTCTCATCCCGAGCTGTTTTTGTTGACGCTCCTGGAGCCCGGCGGGGGACCCTGGGAGTGCGCCGAGCCCCCTCTGGGGCGGTCCTTCTGAGGCGGCGCGCCCCCAGCTCGCCATCGCTCGGACGTCCATTCCCTGTGTATTTTTCGGTTTCGTGTGTGGTTTTTTCGCCAAATGATCAAGGATGCTCCTCGATAGCCCTCGCCGAAGGAAAAATGCACACGTCCGAGCGATGCCAAGCCACAGGCCACGAGGACTCCACGAGGGGCCGCAGAAGCGGCCCAACTCCGCCCTCCCGCAGCGTGCTGCTTGCCACGGCGCGAGACCTGCATGCTCCGAGCGTGCTCCGCCCCCCTCTCGGCTTCTGCTCCCCCACTTCGTCGCGCCCTGCCCTGCTCCTGTGGCAGCCACGCCGCCGCCGACTGTGAAAGCTCGGTCCCCGGTGCGCCAGACGGGAGGCGCAAGCCCAGGCATGCGACGTCCTGCTTTTTTCAGGACGGCGTCCCTGAACCTCCCGACCCTTTCTCCGGGACTGCTTTTTCGTCCTCAGTCGTTCTTTGACGGTCCCGAGGCCCAGCGAGGGCCCCCCGGGGCCGAAAATTGCCAAAAACCTCCCATCCTGCTTGTTGTTACGCCGCGATCATGTCTGGGGGCGCAGGCGGGGGGGGGCGTCCTCGTGTGCGCGCTCTGGATCTGCCTCGCCGCCACGGTGGCCTGCGGGCAGGGCCGCCCGCGCTTCCCGCTGGAGGGGAGGGCCTGGCCCCCACCACCCCCGCCGCCGCAAGCGGACCCGTCGGTCGCCTGCCGCCCGCGGCGGCGACCCCGCACAGCGCCCTCTTCGGTGGCAACTCACGGGAGCCTCGCGCACGTCAGTTTCTTGTCGTGCCGACTTCGGCGTTGGCCTCTGACACCGCGGGGAACGCTCCACCTCGAACGATCGGCCGTTTCCGAGACGTCCAAAAATCGTTCGACATGGAACGATTCTGGGTCGCCCGCGGCGTTCAAAGCTGAACGCAACTGGCGGAGTCGCCGCCGGTCGACACGACGCGAACCTACCGTACCACCTTGCTGGCTCTTTCGAATCGAAGCCAATCAATACGAATGGGCGCCAAATCGGAGCCATCTCATCGACTACGCCGCGCTCATCGATCGGCGCTAGTCGACGCTGACAGACTCGGAAGACGGAATCACGAGGGTACACAAGGCTCTCATGATCTGCTACAGAAACCTTGGAGGTCGCTGGGGGGACAGCGCTGTTGCCAGGACCAAATCCCAATACGCTCGGACGGCGCGCTTGATCCGTCAATAGCAACCCTTACGACACCCATTCGCAAGAAGATCGCATCGTAAGTGTGGTCTCGCCAACGATGGGGCTGCTCAGGCTTGCTCTTATCCTACGAGCACTACCCGTCCTTCGCCGCACCAAAAACACACATCGCGTTCGCTGCCCCTCAGCGAACTTCACACGAAACCCAGTTCAGGAGGGCCAGTCGAGAGGTCCCCAGAACATGCGAGAGGGCAGACCCTCCTCTCCCTGTCAGGCTCAGGCTCACGTCGACTGTCGGGCCTGTCAGGCCCTCCTCTCCCTGTCAGGCTCTCCTGTCCCTATTCGTGAAAATGCTATGGTGATGGTGAGTCCTATTCTTCGCACTAGTATTATTCATAGTAGTAGAAATAGTACTACTACTACTACTACTACTACTACTACTACCACCACCACCACCACGACTACTACTACTACTACTACTACTACTACTACTTCTTCTTCTTCTACTACTACTACTACTACTACTACTACTACGATTACTACTACGACGATTATTATCACTACTATTACGACTACTACTACTACTACTACTACTATTACTACTACTACTACTACTACTACTATTACTACTACCTACTGGCTAGCAGCTACTCCTTACTAACTACTACGACTCAATAACTACTACTACTACTACTACTACTGCTACTACTACTACTACTACGACTGATACAACTACTAATTCTACTACCTCTACTACTACTACTACTACTACTACTACGACGACGACGACGACGACGACGACGACTACTACTACTACTACTACGACTACTACGACGACTACTACTACTACTACTACTACTACTACTACTACTGCTACTACTAGTACGACGAATACGACTATTACTACTACTGCTGCTACGACTACTACTACTACTACTACTTCAAATACTACTACTACTACTACTACAACAACTACTACTACTACTAAAACCTTTAAAGCTACTAACACTACTACTACTACTACTACTACTACTACTACTACTACTACTACTACTACTACTACTACTACTACTACTACTACTACTACTACTACTACTAGCGCTACGCATGCTACGACTACTGCTGATACTACTACCTCTACGGCTACTACTACTGGTGCTGCAACTACTACTACAACTACTACTA